AGTCATTCGGCTGCTAGGTAGGTTGTTTGAGAGAGTGAGAGAAAGAGGTAACCGGGGAAGATCCAGATTAGACGACAGTGATAACCTCTATGACTCTCCGCGAGAAAGTAAAAGTTATACCATCAAGAAATTAACAAAATGAAAACGAAAAACTAACAGAATCGTAGGACGATAGTTCGACAATTAATCTCCTCGAGTCCTCAATGTGTCCTGATAAAAATATCATGCTAAGCAAAAGTAAGACAGGGTGAAGGTCCCAAAGAAAACAGCTATTTTCGACACGTGTAATTAACCACTGGACGATGCTGCATCAATATAGTCGGAAGAACATATTTTGTCTGGGGATTCTTAAATGAAAGAGCAGAGAACATGGTGAACAAGACCCAAGGTTTTGTTCAGGAACTTAAGATGGGTGATAAAGTGGAATAAATCGAGATCCGGAGTGAATACATCCTCCACTGAAACCTCACCTAGTGAGAGCCCCTCGACGGGATCGAAGTCTGACACCTATTGTATGGATAATTCAGAACTTGATGTTTCCAAAAGGTACAAATAAACTCCTAGAGAGATTCCTACATGAAAACGGGAGCGGAAGTGCACCAGGAGGGACATTCCCAATACAATCCGATTTGGGAATATCATTAACTCATCGAAAGCAGATTGGTGCATCCAAGAAAAAATTGAGAAGGGATGATTATTTAATGATGCTCCCTGTCTGCGAAGTCAATATGGAGAAGCACCAGAGAAAATAATGACGGAAATGAAATTCTAGAAGAAAGAGGCCTAAAATTTCATTAAACAGATTACAGTGAAGTTATCAAGAGAAGCGAGAAAGATTTACCCTATGCAGAAAAAGACTGGAGCAATTACGTACAAGATGACGTCCCAAGAACATTGATCTAGATCTACCTTTCACGATGCAGACGCGACAAAACCGCAGGGGAAGATCTTCAGAGAAGTATAATTTTTATGGAGAAGACCTCGTGGCGGACAGGATAGACCTGAAGGAGATAGCAGAAGAGCTAGGGGGTCTGAAAAAATAACCGTGTCACTGGAAGTAGTTTTTGTGGATGATCAGGGTAATGATTGGAAAGGGTGATCAATCAAAACCAGAAGTCGGGCTTTGTCGAGCCCGACTTCTGGTTTTGATTGATCACCCTTTCCAATCATTACCCTGATCATCCACAAAAACTACTTCCAGTGACACGGTTATTTTTTCAGACCCCCTAGCTCTTCTGCTATCTCCTTCATGTCTATCCTGTCCGCCACGAGGTCTTCTCCATAAAAATTATACTTCTCAAAGATCTACAGCAGTCATATGAGTAGAAACTCACTATTCTGCGTGTCTTGACGTCGAACTCCAAAAGACTTAATGTGGCTATTCAAGACGTAAAGCGCGAAATTATTGAAGACACTAAGAATGACCGACATGATCTTTCCCGGGCTGCCCAGAAATGATCATCGTTCAAACTTGAGTCCAACCTAATTTTAAATAGGACGTGAAAATGACGGGTACGTCCATGGGTAATTTTCTCCCGTAGTGGCGAAGTAGTTAACCACACAACTAGTAACCTGAAAAAGGAAATGACAAAAGAAACACATATCCTTTTTGTAAGTAAAAAATCTATGTGTAAGTAATACCCACACTGAAAAATTATTAACAAAAAAGTTCAAAATAGCAAGAGAAACAGGTGACCTAGAGGCAGAACTAGATGAAGGCCCTAGGAAACCAGACATAGGCAGAGTAGTATAGTCATATTTTAACTTGCCAAGTGAGTACTCAAGCAGCATTAGACTAACGGTTAGCGATTTTTTTACTTACAAATAGGATATGTGCGATAGCTATTACCGCGGACATGAATTTTAGAAGAGCGTTAGCAGCAGACTTTAAGAGAGAAGACAAAAACATAATAGTTCACTGGAAGCAAAAACCAGGAGTAGGAGGTGTAGCAGCTTTCACTGCGGCGGCTTCGCAAATACCAGGAAGGTACTTATGTTTCTTGGGGACGAGGGCGACGGAAAAGCAGCATGTGGAACCGGAAGATTTGCGTCTATCCCTTACGAGACTGAGACACTTCCTGTGTACGAGGTGAAAGAACTATCGCTTCCTGTGTACGACCCAAACCGAGGACGGCTGCATCCTTGGAAGCTGTATGCGCTGATACATGTAATCTTTTCTAATACTAACATGAAAGTGTATCTACATAAGAAAAACAATTTGAGTATAGGCTGAGTGTAGGCGAGTGTGTTATGTGTTATTTGTAATGTAATATGTTGTTATTTTGTTACGATCTCGGGTTTGGAAGGGTTAGTGACCACGAATGCTCAAACAAAAATGTTAGGAATAGGTCCAAAGTGTGGTCCACTCTTAGATCAACTTCCAAGATTTTAGACTGAATCGATTTTTAATTTATCTTAAGATCAAAATATATCTGACTGCTTTTAAATCAATTTTATTATGAATTTCGAGTAATATTGACAGATGCGATAGTCGTGACAATTTTTTTCCAAATTTTGATTGATCGTTTAATTACTCATCAAATTTCAATTGTGCACACAGATAATCTAAATCGAATCATACGAAATGGATAAATTCGATCTGAATGAATTGATGGACCTTGCAGAGGCCTATGTAGGACCGGTGCTAGATGAGGATCCAGAGGTAGTCATGTTGCTGACCGCCTTAACGAATATCTTGGGGCATGACAACCGTGGGGACCGCCCCACGGAATTCTTATTGATGGCCGCTTAGGGATAACAAGGAGTACTAGACCGCCCAAACATGAGGGTATTGAGGTGGAGAAACTGGGCACTCTCAGGAAAAAACTTGGCGAACGAGCCTGGATTGGTATGTTCAAGGTCCTACCAACCAGGTGAAATGCCTATTACGACCAAGCCTGGGGCTGGGTTGCGGAGATTGCATCAAGAAATGACTAACGAGGCAGCTTTGTCTAGCTCACAACTGAGAGCAGCTCTGCCATCAAAACGTGACAGAGTAGAAGAGTAAGCTCAATAAATGAAACAATGAAAGAACTGAATAAAACGAAAGACAAACTGGATAGAAATGTGACGTTGTGCCTCCACAACAGCTTCTGCAGCAATAGGGAAACTAGTAAAGACCCTCTACCTTGTTGCAAAAAAGGTAGAAGAGCAGAGGTGTTGGAGGACTGCCTCCAACAGCGTCAGATTGGCCACTGAGTAGTTGCAAGACACTGAAACCGAGAGTGCGGAGTCAATGTCACAGTAGGAAGAGATGAGGCAGTGACAAAAGCCGAATGACAAGATGCAGAAAAGAGAAAGATTAGAAGAATTTAGAAGTTTTACAAATTCTAAACGACGAAAACGGAAAGAAAAAAACGAACGAAGGAGTAACTAAAAAGATGAGAATTAAAACTCAGAAATGTTTTGTGTGAGAAAAACTCAAATAAGAAACCAAACAACCTAGCTCGAAATCGAAACTGATTGAAAGAATTTTTTTTAGTTGATTTTTGAATTTTAAAATTGTTGCTCATAAAAATTTGCATTGTAATTTCAGTTAGTGTTTTAGAGACACTTACTAGAGAGGCTTGAGTGAAGAGTATAGTAAATTTTCCAGCCTGCATGATTGTTTTTAATCAACGAAGATGACTGTTCACTTCGTGGTAACATCAAAAAGTTGAATGATCTCTTGAAGAGGTAGCTTATTTCATTGACGCTTCTAACAACTGAGTTTCCTAATTTTAATATCAGGACCAATAACAGCTAAATTTACGAAGGGAGGAAGCATAGTAGGATAATTTTAGTCTGTTTTGTTGGTTGGCAAGACTGTCCTGCGTCCCAACACCTTTTAAACCGAGGAGAAGAAGTTTTAAATCGAGACAATGGCACTAAAAGTCAAAAAAGACATGTTATCTTAAGTCATATCCTCAAGGTGAAGACTAATGAAAAGTGTTAGAAGGCAATAGCGAGGTAGTATGATGCGATTTGTAGTTTGCAGTGAGTCGATATGATGTGGACAAAAGTTCTTTTACAGCATTTTGTAATTTCTGTGCGATGGCACTCTACCCATTTAATGAATTTCGTGAGACTCAATGAGGGCATTGACCGGGCTGTCCGGGTGTATGTGACATTCGACCAGAATAGCGGTCAAAATTTCTGACGAAATCGAAACTTTATTTGAACAGTTTAGTGGGAGGATTGGCTGTTTCAGAAGATAATTGGCTTTATTTGATAAACTGATCGAATTAGGAGAGTTCGGTTTTAACTGACATGTGAAATTATAAAAAATCGATTGCGAAGACATGTGACCATTTTTATTTTCGCGAATACAGAAAAAGCGCGAAAATCAACAGAACAACAATTTTCGCTTGTAGAAAACAGATCTACGATCTGAATTGGAGTTACCATCGATATTAATTTTAACGATTGTGCAGCTACAATCATTACGGAGCAATTCTCGAGAATTTGGAGGGGTATCCGAAGGATTTTACTACCCTTCCCGAGTGACGATAAGACCGCTCTTCGAACGGATTCAAGAACCCGGAAGGGTCTCGGGAAGAGACTGAAACTGTATTTTTAACAACTTTGAGCTTCCTAGTATTTTTTAACAAGTTGTTCCATGAAAAACAAAAGTCTGCTTTTTTGAATCCAACAGGCCATCCAAAGTCAAAATTTTTTGGTTGTTGATTGTTTAAAATTCGTCTGACTGGAAAAGTTCTACCAGTTTGGCTTCGTATTGGTGTTTTTTTTCATGATACGAAACGCAACACCTTTTACGAATGATACTGCGAGAAGAGCGTTGTTTTAGAGATATTGTCTAGCTTTGTCCACCACCTATCAGATGGTGTCTGTTTCAATCGTTTAACATAGGTTTTAGCTGCCGCTGTAATCTCTCACAACGATTCCCCTGTTACGTTTTGACTCCCCTGTTAGCTGCCGCTTCAATCTCTCACGAGGACTCCCCTGTTACGTACCTTTCTTTAAGAAAATTGATTTTTGTTATTAATGGGTGTTTCAGAGAGATATGGACAAGTATTCAATCATTGGGCCAATTGGAGAAGGAGCTCATGGAATAGTCTTCAAGGCAAAACACATTCAAAGCGGCGAAGAAGTTGCACTGAAAAAAATCCCTTTGAAACGTCTCGATGACTGCATACCTAATTCTGCCCTTCGTGAAATTAAGGCATTGCAAGAGATAGGCGAGCATCCAAATATTGTAACTCTCCGCGAAGTTTTTCCTCATGGGACTGGTTTTGTTCTTGTTTTCGAGTTCATGCTTTCTGATCTGTCAGAAGTAATAAGGAATGTGGATCGACCTATAACTGATTCACAAGTCAAAAGTTATATGCGAATGCTTTTGAAAGGCGTCAATTATTGTCACGAAAACAACATTATTCACCGAGACTTGAAAGTAAGTTACTAAAAAGTTCGTTGAATAAATATGCGTTTTTGATTCATTGTAACTTGTTTTCAGCCAGCAAATTTACTCATCAGCTCAACGGGTCACCTGAAGATAGCTGACTTCGGTCTGGCGCGAATTTTTTCAAGAAACAAAGGCGATGACCCAAATGGCGCCCACCCTCAGCTTGAAAGACAATATAGCCATCAAGTGGCTACCAGATGGTACAGGAGTCCTGAACTCCTGTACGGTGCTAAGAAATATGACGAAGGTGTGGATTTATGGGCTGTGGGCTGCATTTTTGGTTAGTTATATAATTACTGCGTACTGTTGAGTAAAGCTCGCAGCCTTGAACGGAGCTATATTATATCGTAAGCAAGGCAATCTTTTTCACCTGTGTTGTATTGTAAGCAAGGAAATCTTTTTCGCCTGTTTCGAAATCTTTTTTATCTGTTTTGAAAATGGTGCGTACGAAGTTTATTATTGTTTACAAAATGTTTAAGGAGAGTTGCTGAACATGTCGCCAGTGTTTCCTGGCGAAAAAGATATCGATCAGCTCTGCTGCGTATTGCGGGTACTGGGTACACCTACAGAAGAGATCTGGCCTGGAATGAAGTCTCTTCCAGATTACCAGAAAATTATTTTCCCAGAAAATGAACCAATACCGTTCGAAGAGATTTTTCCAGATGCCTCTGCAGAAGCACTTGATTTAGTGAAAAAGTTCTTGGTTTACGATTCTAAGAAGCGAATTTCAGCTACTGAAGCGTTACTGCACCCTTATTTTTTCACTGAGCCCTTGCCAGCTCACCATTCGGAGCTTCCGATACCAGTCACCCATAGAGCTAACAAGAAGCTACGCCAAACAGCTGAGTTAGATGTTACAGCTCCCATTCAAGCGTCTTTAGTAGACCCGGCAACAATTGAAATGTTTTGCTAGAAATTTGACGGGGGTATTTTAAAGTGCAGTACGTACAAACAAGTCAAGTGTAAATAGCATTGTCTGCTTATTGTATTATTTTATAATCTGTACAAATTTTTGTCCAATTGATTGTATAAATTGTATAAATGTAGTTTGTTGAGTAAATCCAATAAAGGGTCATGAAAGATTTTTTTTTATTTTTTTTAACTGCACGCAGATATCGTCTTAAGTGCAGTCTTAACGCGCGTCCTCTTTCATTGATTTTCAACTCTCCGATATTGTCAATTGTGGAGATCGATTGTCCTCTAGTCCGTCAAACTGAGGACAAGTGTGGTCTCGTTTTTCCACTCCTGAGTGATGTTCGATTTAAGGAGAGAAATTTTTAATGCGGAGAAATTAGCGGGAAGTTAATGCGAGTAACTAAGCTTACGATTTCCAGTGTTTTTAAACCGGAACATTGAATTTTTTTCGGCTAACAAATTGTTAAATTGTTGTACAAACTCCAATAACTTGATAAGGTGATTAAGAGTCGATTTTTTGTAGGTCGAACAAATTATTTTTCCGAGCTCTCCTAAAGCACTGAAAAGACCCTGTTTTGGCCAAATTCTCTACGCCGCAGACAAATTTTCGAAAAAAACAGGTCAGAAAAGCCGTTTTTGGCAAAAAAAATTTGACCAAAAAATCGCATCCGCGCTCATCGCTTGAAAATTAGTATATATTGGCGACTTTAGAAAAAATTTAGGGTCGTTTGGCGAAAAATGGATTTATTAAAAATTATCTTTGGGTCGGCAGGGGATCGAATCCCTGAAGGGTTGGAGGGGCGTCCGCCCCTCCCCCCTAAATCCGCCCCTGCTCTTATATGGGTCGCGATAATTTTTTTTTCGTTTTTTATTTTAAGGAAACGTCTAAAAAGTTGTCCAGGCTCAAATTATATTTTCGCGTTTGACTTCCTGATTTCTTTTTCAGTTCAGTTCTTTTCCGAAGTTAAAAGGAAGGCAAACTCCACTAGCGATCAGGGAAAGCGTAAAAGTCACGACAAACGTGAAAGGGGAATTTAATTTTCAGATTTCTTAGCGAAATATAAATTTACCCCTTGATCCAGTTTTCTCAAATTGATATAATTGTCGAAAAGATCCAATCATAAATTGTATAGAAATTCAAAGCGCTTCAAGGCCATCTTTATTTTTCATTGAAATTATCTGAAGAAACAAACTGCAGCGAAATATTTCGTAACTTGGAAATGTTTCGTCAAGTTGAAAATAGTATTTCGTCAAGTTGAAATCTTACGACTGCTTGGGTGAGGGTATAGCCGCGTCTCCTCAACTAACAGGCAAATTTTGAGCATGTCTGCTTTTTAAATGCCCGTTGTATTCGATGCTAATTTAATATTGAATTGTTCGATTTGCAATTTTAATTTGACATGGTTTAGGAACTGAATTTGAGACAAAATTACGAAAAAGAAACGAAAATTTTTTAATCATTTTTTTGGTATTTTTTTCAGAAAAACGAAAAGTTTTTTTCTGCGGTTTCTAATTTTTTTTGTAGAGTATTGGTAATGCTATGTTTGATGACAAAATGGTAAATATAAGAAATTTGTGATGCTTTGTAAGGCTGGTACTGCAATTTCGGCTATGATTTGTGGAAAACTTGCTATTATTTGCGGTATTCGACTTTTTTTCTGATTGAGTATTGTTTATCACTCAATACTTTTGCAATCAATATTCGTGAACGATACACGGACAAATATATGCCACAAAACAGTGATTTGATATATCGTTTGAGTTCGTTTCCGAGCCGAGTCAACTTCACTTTGTTTCCGTTGTTTGAATCGCCCGCATTTCCCATCTCATGATGTCTTAAATACGTTGGCTCATTACTTCTGAATTTCGTCACCTGATTTGAATTTTCAAAAAAGTTCATTGGTTTTAAGCAGTAATGCAGTCGAAGTTTTTGTTTGCGTATCTGGATCCATCAGTATAGCATGAAACTTTAATTTGACTGAAATGCCTTAACTCTGATAGCGTCAAACTGAGATAATAGTAGCGTTAAAGTGTATTCAATTAATGTCTGTTAATCATATTTCATGGATACATGCAGGGGCGAATCTACGATTTTCTCGAGGGGGGAGGGGCAGATTTTCAAAAAAATTTCGAAAAATTTTGACGACCTTTTTTTCGACCAAATTGATTTTCCGAGCTCTCGTAAAGCACTAAAAAGACGCTGTTTTTGGCCAACTCTAAAAAATAGGTCAAAAAAGTCGTTATTGGGCATTTTTTGGAAAATTTGGACTAAAAAATTGCATTTTTTGGCGCGCGCGCCTCCCTTAAAAGTTAGTATATATTGGCGCCTAAAGAAAAATTTTAGGGCCGGTCGGCCAAAATTGGATTTCTTAAAAAGTACCAAGGGGGGACCCTTTTGGTCGGCAGGAGGTCGAATCCCTGAGGGGGAAAAGGCGTCAGCCCCCCCCCCCCCCCCCCCCCTAAATCCGCCCCTGGATACATGTATGGAATATGGACACTTTTATTGTCTTTTGTTTCAGTTAGACATGCTTTACCAAAACCCTATCATTTAAAATCGATTTGAAACTGCAATTGAAATCAAATTTAACTTAGCGTATCAGTACATGTGTGATGAGTTCACTGGTGGTGCCAGTGGTGGTGTGGGGAGGTGGGGGCACTGGACAGAACAGTCCCACTCACCGAGTCTCCTCCCTTCTCCTCACCCCAGACTGCACCACCCTCATATCTGGCAGTGTGGACGGACACATCATCCTGTGGAAGCTCAAATTAGACCAGACTCTCTGGAATGCACAGACGGAAGCTACGGTAAGTCCAGGATGAGTTAAAACTTAAATGAGAATCTTTTTAAGCTCATGGTATGGTAAAAACCTATAGCCACGAGATGAACAGGGGGAACTAGATAAACAAGCTGTTCAGTTCATTTGGAGAACCGCTGTTGTGTCAGTGGCTAAATATGCTCTTTTTGGGGCTTGGAAGGGTTCTCTCTTCCTAGCAGCAATGAGCAAATAGCGTTCTGCGACTCGAACAACCGAACTTTCGATTGAGCAGCGGATACCTACAACAGCGATCGCCGATGAATATCTAACATCTGTAATTAAATTTAGCCTGGTGTTTCACGACAGGAAAAAAATAGCGTCGTAATTTGAGTTTCGTTTAATTTGGGTGTTTTTTTTTCACCAGATTTTTTTTCTGGCGATAGTTTCTGGCAGGGGCGCCCTCCTCAGGGATCCGACTCCCTGCCGACCCAACCGGCAGGGAATTGGTCATTGTACTCATTAGCAAAGTTTACTCAGGGGTTCGAGAACGCACTTTTTGGCCTGTTTGTTGAAAAAGTTGCCTGCGGCGCAGAAAGCTTGGTCAAAAAAGGTCTTTTACAGGGGCGGATTTTTTTTTGGGGGGGGGGGGAGGGGGGTCGGATGTTCCCTCCCCCTCAGGCATTCAACCCCCTGCCGACCCAAAGGGTCCCCCTTTGTACTATTATGAGATATCCATTTTTGTCTGACTGACCTCAAAATTTTTCTAATGGCGCCTTGGGCGCCAATCTATACTATTTTTGAGGGGGGAGCGCGCTCAGAAAAAACGCGATTTTTTTAAATTTTCCAAAAAGTGTTTAAAAACACTATTTTTGGCCTGTTTTTCAACAAAATTGGCCTGCGGCGCAGAAAATTTGGCCAAAACAGGGACTTTTTAGTGCTTTGGGAGAGTTCGAAAAGTCAATTTGGTCGAACTAAAAAAAGGTCGACAAAGTTTTCGAAATTTTTTGAAAATCCGCCCCCCCCCCCCTCGAGAAAATCCTAGATCCGACCCTGGTTTTTGGCGGTCTTACCGCTTAGTTACCTTTAGGTTTCTTGACCGTTCTTTGGCACACATCACCTTCTAATGGAGACAATTATACTACTTCTCAAAATTGGATTTTCGGCGCTTGGCTATCTCGGTCTGCACATGTTTGAATTTCAGTCATTCTTTTCTTCGTTTTTTCGTTATTGCTGTCAAGCACACCTTGCGAACGGTCATCAAGTAGCATGTATCGTTTGCGATTTTGTCTCAAAGCGTGTTGTTTTTCTATTTTCAGCTGGAGCCAATATCGGTTCTTCTGGGCCATACAGCTCAAGTGACCGCCCTGTGTGTGGCCAATGAAGCCAATGCCCCCATCTCAGCCACCAGTTGCGCAGTGGGGGGAGCAAAGGGCACTTTTCTGTCTGCCAGTGAAAATGGAGACGTATGTCTGTGGGACATCTCAGACGGAAGGTGTCTGGAGGTCAACAGGTTCCAAGGACACCACATCGGAATGCAGGTTAGTTGTTCTGCAGGGGCAATCGCTGATAGACGAAGGGAACGACTGGCTAAAACCATGTTCAATATTCACAAATGGATTGAAATCAGTGTTAAAATAAGTAATTTTCCACAGTTTGAAGCACCCTGTGGCTGAGTTTTTCACCTGACCTATTGTATGTGCATTCATTGCTACGAATTGTAAATGTGGTTTTGGCTGTACTCATTTTTGATCAGTAGGTTTTTCGATTGATTAAAAGTCGGGACTATGATGATGATTTTTACCGACTGGTGATGTTTGAATTTCTGCAACTAATCTACTTGTTTGTGCATTGACAGAATAATTTTGGTTTTATTTTAAATATTTTTGATTGGTGAAGTTTGATTGTGATTAATCTAGAGGACTTGACAATGATGGGATTTTATACTGACTGATGGCGTTTCAATTTTCTCGCTTGACCTCATTTCTTTTTATGTGCATTGTAGCAATAAATTATTAATTTTGCTTCTACATATTTTTGGTTGTGCGTAATCTTTAGGACTTGACAATGCTGACATTTCTTTTTTGACTGGTGATAATTGATTTTCTTCAGCTGACCTATTTGTTTGTGTGCATTGGAACAGAAAGTTAAGTTTTTGCTTTACTCTTTCTTGATTGGTGAATTTCGATTGTGCGTCTTCTTTGGGATTTGAAAATGATGACTTCTTGCTTCTGACTGATGATGTTCGAATTTCTTCAACTGACCTATTGTTTGTTAACATAGGAGCAGTATTTTTCTGCTTAGACCCAATTGTGATTGGTGAAGCTGATTGTGCAGTTCGTGAAGTTGATTGGTGAGTTTCGATTGAGAGGGTCGTCCTAAGAATTTGGCAATGATGATTTCTTGCTACTGACTGATGATGTTCGAATTTCTTCAATTGACATATTGTTTGTTAGCACAGGAACAATATTTTTTTTGCTTATACCCAATTGTGATTGGTGAAGCTGATTGTGCAGTTGGTGAAATTGATTTGTGAAGTTGATTGGTGAGTTTTTGAGTTTTGTTTGGAAGGGTCGTCCTAAGAATTTGACAATGATGACTTCATGCTACTGACTCGTGATATTTGGATTTCTTAAAATGTCCTATTGTTTGTAAGCATTGGAACAGTTATCTGTTTTTTTTTTGCTTCTACTCTTTGTTGGTTTGTGAAGTTCATCGTGAATCATCTTAGGAGTTGAACAGGGATTACTTTCTTTTTTGACTGGTGATGTTTGCACTTCACCTGATTTATTAGTTTTTGTGTATTGTGACAGAAAGTTATTTTTTTTGCCGTACTCTGTGGTGAGTTACAATAAATGTTGAGTTTCGATTGAGCGTCGTCTTAAGGACCTGATAATAATGACTTCTTGCTTCTGACTGACTTTATTTGGATTTCTTCAAGTGACCCGTTATTTGTTAGCATTGGAACAGTAGTTTTTTTTTGCTTGTACTCATTTTTGAATGTTGAAACTGATTGCGCATAATCTTAGAACTTGACAGTGATGAATTTTCTTTATAAGCTGCTGAAGTTTGCAAATTTTCCAATGACCTATTAGTTTTTGTGTATTGGAACACTCAGATACGTTTTGCCTTCCTCTTTAATTATTGATTAGTTTCGGTTGAACGTCGGACAATGATGACTTCTTGTTATGACTGATGTTTGAATTTCTTCAACTGACCTTTCGTCTGTTAGCATTAGAGCAGTAATTCTGTTTTGCTTCTACTTGTTTTTGATTGGTGGAACGGATTGAGCGTAATCTTTAGAACTTCACAATGATGGCGTTATTGATTGATAGGTGATGTTTGATTTTCTTTACCTGACCTATTTGTTTTTTTTTTTGTATTGGAACAGAAAGTTAAGTTTTTGCTTTACTCTTTCTTGATTGGTGAATTTCGATTGTGCGTCTTCTTTGGGATTTGAAAATGATGACTTCTTGCTTCTGACTGATGATGTTCGAATTTCTTCAACTGACCTATTGTTTGTTAACATAGGAGCAGTATTTTTCTGCTTAGACCCAATTGTGATTGGTGAAGCTGATTGTGCAGTTCGTGAAGTTGATTGGTGAGTTTCGATTGAGAGGGTCGTCCTAAGAATTTGGCAATGATGATTTCTTGCTACTGACTGATGATGTTCGAATTTCTTCAATTGACATATTGTTTGTTAGCACAGGAACAATATTTTTTTTGCTTATACCCAATTGTGATTGGTGAAGCTGATTGTGCAGTTGGTGAAATTGATTTGTGAAGTTGATTGGTGAGTTTTTGAGTTTTGTTTGGAAGGGTCGTCCTAAGAATTTGACAATGATGACTTCATGCTACTGACTCGTGATATTTGGATTTCTTAAAATGTCCTATTGTTTGTAAGCATTGGAACAGTTATCTGTTTTTTTTTTGCTTCTACTCTTTGTTGGTTTGTGAAGTTCATCGTGAATCATCTTAGGAGTTGAACAGGGATTACTTTCTTTTTTGACTGGTGATGTTTGCACTTCACCTGATTTATTAGTTTTTGTGTATTGTGACAGAAAGTTATTTTTTTTGCCGTACTCTGTGGTGAGTTACAATAAATGTTGAGTTTCGATTGAGCGTCGTCTTAAGGACCTGATAATAATGACTTCTTGCTTCTGACTGACTTTATTTGGATTTCTTCAAGTGACCCGTTATTTGTTAGCATTGGAACAGTAAATTTTTTTTGCTTGTACTCATTTTTGAATGTTGAAACTGATTGCGCATAATCTTAGAACTTGACAGTGATGAATTTTCTTTATAAGCTGCTGAAGTTTGCAAATTTTCCAATGACCTATTAGTTTTTGTGTATTGGAACACTCAGATACGTTTTGCCTTCCTCTTTAATTATTGATTAGTTTCGGTTGAACGTCGGACAATGATGACTTCTTGTTATGACTGATGTTTGAATTTCTTCAACTGACCTTTCGTCTGTTAGCATTAGAGCAGTAATTCTGTTTTGCTTCTACTTGTTTTTGATTGGTGGAACGGATTGAGCGTAATCTTTAGAACTTCACAATGATGGCGTTATTGATTGATAGGTGATGTTTGATTTTCTTTACCTGACCTATTTGTTTTTTTTTTGTATTGGAACAGTACGATAGGTTTTAGCTTTACTCTTTTTTGATTGGTGAATTTCGATTGTGCGTCTTCTTTCGGATTTGAAAATGATGACTTCTTGCTACTGACTGATGATGTTTGAATTTCAACTGACCTTTCGTCTGTTGGTATTGGAGCAGTAATTCTTTTTTGTTTATACTCGGTTTCGATTGGTGAACGTACTCTGCTTATCTTTAGAACTTAACAAAGACGTCATTTTTTGTTGACTGGCGATGTTTGATTTTTTTTCACCTGACCTATTGGTTTTTGTGTATTAGAACAGTAAGGTAAGTTATTGTTTTACTTTTTAATGATTAGTGAGTTTCGATGTTGTGTCTTCTTTGGGGCTTCACAATGATGACTTCTTGTTACTGACTGATGATCTTCGAATTTCTTTAACTGACCTATTGTTTGTTAGCATAGGAACAGTATTTTTCTGCTTAGCCCCAAATGTGATTGGTGAAGCTGATTGTGCAGTTCGTGAAGTTGATTGGTGAGTTTCGATTGAGAGGTTCGTCCTAAGAATTTGACGTTGATCATTTCTTGCTACTGACTGATGATGTTCGAATTTCTTCAACTGACATATTGTTTTTTAGCATAGGAACATTATTTTTTTCTTATACCCAATTGTGATTGGTGAAGCTGATTGTGCAGTTGGTGAAATTGATTTGTGAAGTTGATTGGTGAGTTTTGATTGAAAGGGTCGTCCTGAGATGTTGACAATGATGACTTCTTGCTACTAACTCGTGATGTTCGAGTTTCTTAAAATGTTCTATTGTTTGTAGGCATTGGAACAGTTCTGTTTTTTTTGCTTCTCCTTTTTGGTTGGTGAAGTTCATCGTGAATCATCTTTAGAGTTAAACAGGGATTAATTTCTTTTTGACTGGTGATGTTTGCACTTCACCTGATTTATTAGTTTTTGTGTATTGTGACAAAATTAATTGTATGCCGTACTCTGTGGTGAGTTACAATAAATGGTGAGTTTTGATTGACCGTCTTTTTTAGAACCTGATAATGATGACTTCTTGCTTCTGACTGATTTGGTTTGGATTTCTTGTTTGTTGGATGTTGTTTGTTAGCATTGGAACAGTAGTTTTTTTGCTTAGACTCAATTTTGAATGGTGAAATTGATTGCGCATAATCTTAGAACTTGACAGTGATGAATTTTCTTTTTTAGCTGCTGAAGTTTGAAAATTTTCCAATGACCTATTAGTTTTTGTGTATTGCAACACTAAGATACGTTTTGCCTTTCTCTTAAAATATTGATGAGTTTCGGTTGAACGTCGGACAATGATGACTTCTTGCTATGACTGATGATGTTTGAATTTCTTCAACTGACCTTTTGTCTGTTAGCATGGGAGCAGTAATTCTTTTTTGCTTCTCAGTTTTTGTTTTACTCTTTAATGATTAGTGAGTTTGGTTGTTGTGTCGTCTTTAGGGCTTCACAATGTTGACTTCTTGTTTCTGACAGATGACGTTCGAATTTCTTCAACTGACCTAATGTTTGTTAGCATAGGAACAGTGTTTTCCTGCTTAGACCCAATTGTGATTGGTGAAGTTGATTGTGCAGTTCGTGAAGTTGATTGGTGAGTTTCGATTGAGAGCGTCTTCCTAAGAATGTGACAATGATGATTTCTTGCTATTGACTGATGTTCGAATTTCTTAAAATGACCAATTGTTTGTAAGCAATGGAACCTTTATCTGTTTTTTTTTTGCTTCTCCTTTTTGGTTTGTGAAGTTCATCGTGAATCATCTTTAGAGTTGAGAAGGGATTACTTTCTTTTTTGATTGCGTTGGTTAACATCACCTGATTAATTAGTTTTGGTGTATTGCGACAGAAAGTTATTTTTTTTGCCGTACTCTGTGGTGAGTTACAATAAATGTTGAGTTTCGATTGAGC